GTATGTTAAAGTTTTAAGAATTCCTTACAACACTGTGCATTAACTTTCTTTTCCAATATTTCTCCTTTTGAAATATTTCAGTTTCTCAAATATAACATCAAGTGACAATTGATAATTTATTGCTGAAAATAGCCTAGGGATTATAGATTTTATTTCTGTTACCTATTTATAAAACAACTTTCTTAAAGATTTATTTATTTATGCATACAAGAACTGGGGCACAGGTCAGAGGTATGGGGGGTTGAGAGGACTCACCAGAGACAGAGTGGAGACCAGAACAGGCAGATTGACTGAAATGCACTGCTGAGGGGAGCAGTAGGCAAGCCAGGAGAGGTCTGCTGTGCCACATGGATCTCCTCCCTGACGGGGATTGAATGCAAGCTGCCTGTAGTATTCCATTATGTGTATATAACATATCTTGATCCATTTATCTGTTTTGGAGCAGTTAGGTGTTCCTGTATATATCTTGTTTATTGTAAATAGTGCTGCACTAAACATAGGACTGCAAGATTCCAATTAATGTTTTTGTGTTTTGGGGGTAGATTCCACCTGTGAGGATGTCCCATATTACAAAAACCAGAAACAATAAATGTTTCAGAGGATGTGTAGAGAAGGGAACCCTATAGTTTTGAGATTTCTAAGAAAAATAAAAATAGAAATTCCATATGATCCATTTATCCCACTTCTGTTTATTTACTCTCTCCCCACAAAATAAAATAACTAAAGTAATTCGAAGAGATGTATATACCACCCGTTTTTATTGCAGCTTCATGTACAACAGCCAAGAGCTCAAAATAAAATCAGTACCCTTTGACAGATGAATGAATAAAGAAAATATGGCATTAATATACAAGGGAATACTTCTCAGCTATAAAATGATAAAATCCAGCTATTTGCTATAACGTGGCTGGCCCTAGAGTGTTTTTATGTTTTGTGAAAAAAGTCAGGTGGAGAAAGCTATATGATTTCACTCATATGTGGCATATGGAGACCACAGCACATCCTAGGATTTGTAGTCCAACAGAAACGGGTAGGGTAAATTTTAAGTGAACTTTGTTTAAAGTGATAATAACATCAGAGGGTGGAGTGGCTTCTGGGCAAAGCCCCCTACATTTTTGATTTGGGCACACACCAGCAAGTGGGCTCCTGAGACCCAGCATTGTACTAGGTAAGGATGTGGGTGAGTTGGCACCGAGAATGGAGGGTGCATTGTTGGAGAGCTGCCAGGGTAAAAGTATAGAGTGAGGACTATTGCTTTGGACCTCTTAATGTAGACCAGCTAGAACCTGATTTGTCAGGGAGAAACAGGTAATAGGACCTGCTTATCCTTTTAGATTTTGTTACTAGAAGCCCAAGCCGACCTATCCCAAACACCTACCACTGCCAGCCCAGGGCTAAAACCAAAACAAAGACTTGAACAAATTAGAACTCAAGTACCTACCAATAACAGGAACAAACATCCCAGGACTAGGCTTTGTGGTGCTAAAGAGAACAAGTACTGATCTGTAACCTCATAGCAACTATAATCCACGTCCATTGCTACACCTAGTGCTTAAAAATAGCCTGTAATGGAAATGAACAGAAGACCTGGTAAGAGACTCTAAAACTAATAGGTGGATATAGAAGGAGGGCTGGGGCTACCCACCACAAAACTCTGACACAGCACAGTGGGAAGTTCGAATTCTGTCTATTAGATGTAAACTTTTGTGCTCTACACTAGTCCTCTTTTATAAAATCTGCTACACTTAGTTCTCAAATTACTTCAACATATATAATGAAACTAGTCTGAAAATCTATCCCTATTACAACACATAAAAATTATTAAAAAAAAGAAAAAGGAAGTACACACTACACAATGCCAGATCAAAAATTCCCTGAAAGAAACCCGACCCATTGGCGCTAAGGAGCAGGACAGAAAAATAGTCCAGAGTAATAACACAGTAATACCAGGAGACTCAAATATCTCTACACACAACAAAAAATCTACTAGATAAATAGTAAATAAGGAAACAGTAGTATTAAATCAGTAGTAAGAACCAGTAAATTTAACAGAGATCTATGGAACATTCTACCCCCAAATGATTGCATTTTTTTTCAAGTATACATGGAACACTAGTAAGAATAGAGCATATATTGGGCACAAGTCAATTGTTAAGATGGCAAATAAAAATTATAACTACTGCTTTTTCTGATCATAATGCCATATAAATTAAATATAAGAAAAAATAGGAAAAACTATGAATTCATGGAGACTAAAGAATATACAGCCTGATAGTAATTGAATAAAAGAATTGAAGCAGAAGTTTACTTTGAGATTAATTAAATTGATGATAAAACTACCAGAATCCATGAGATATAGCAAATATGCCCTTACAGGGCAAGATAATTTCAATACAGGCCCACATTATGAAGCAAGAAAAAAATCACAAATAAACAATCTAATAATACACCTAAAGCAACCTAAAACAAGGAGCAAACAAGACCCACAGTTAGTAGAAAAAACAAAATAATAAAAACTGAGTGAAAAGAAATGAAATAAATATTAAAGACTGTAAAAAATTGATGAAATTAAGAGCTGTTTTTTCAATAAGATAAACAAAATAAAGGTCCCTATAGTTAGACTAACAAAAAAAAAAGAGAAAATAGAGAAAACATTGATAAACAATCACAAATGAAAGAATAAATCACCATAGATAGCAAAAAAATACAAAGGACCATGAGAGATTACTATGAACAACTATATGCTAACAAATTTAATATTGAAGAAAAGGGTTAATTTCTACCTCAATATAGTCTACTATGTAACTCAGGAAGAATTAGATAAATTGAACAAACTGATCACCAGTGTGGAAATTGAAACTAATAAAAAATGTTCCAAAAACAAAACTCCAGAAACAGATGGCTTTACAAATAAATTTTATCAAACCTTTAAAAAATTCTTTAAAAAATGCTCAAATTATTTTAAAAAATACAAGAAGAAATGCTCCCCAACACACTTTGTGATGCCAACATTACCCTAATACTGAAACCAGACAAAAACAGCATGAGAAAAAATTAAGAAATAAAATAATTGTCTTTGATGAACACTTATGTAACTATCTTCAACAAAATAGTAGAAAATTGTATTCAACAGTTTGTTACAAGGACTCTGCGTCATCATCAAGTGGGATTTATGCCAGGGATGCAAGGATGGGTCAATATACTTAAATCAATTATGTAACACATCTTTTTGACCAAAGCAAATGTAAAAAAAAAAAAAAAAAGATATTGTCAATAGATGCAGAGAAAGCATTTAATAAGATTCAGCCCTCATTTACGATTAAAATTCTAAACAAGATGGGAGTAGAAGGAACTTACCTCAGTATAATGAAGCCTATATATAAAACATACTAACAGTCAATATAATACTTAGTGGTAAAAAATGAAGTTTTTCCCTTAAAATTAGGAATAAGATAAGGATGCCCATTGCCACCACTTATGTTAACTGCCTGGGTCTGTATGTAGGATCTGCTGCTCTTATTGTCTGTGTAGACTTAACTAAATATTTGCAATAATTTATCTATAAAAATATTAGCTTTATTACTATTAAAATTTATCCCTCCTTTATCCCTCCTTTCCTGCATTTATCCCTCCTTTCCTGCATTTACTTTCTGACTGCTTTTCAGTCACCCAAAGGCTCTTTGTAGTTTTATATTTAAATTATTTTATTCCTTTATAGTTACTGATAACTCTCTCCCTCTTCCACCCTACCCCCCAAACTGGCTAATGGCATCTCATCTTTTTGCATTTAGCTCAGTAATTACTTTTAAGCTTAAGATTCCTTATGATAAAGTGACTTTCCCTTTAATAGGTAGGGTAGTTATGAATTCTATTAGAACTATAACATGGAATGACTTTCTAATATTTATGTATCTGTTTACTACTGTGAAACCACAGGCAACTTGAGAGCTGGAGTTTTATCTTGTTTGTATTTGTGCTGGAATAGTTTCTGCTACATAGTGCAAATATAATAAAAATGTGCATTGAATATGTAGGAAATGACTATATGAAAAAACGGTTATTGTCTTACAAATCAGACTTTAACTCACTTTTCATTATGTGGTTCAATATTGTTTAATTGAGATCTTTGTGATAAATTGTCTTTAAATTTACCTCCAGAAAAAGTAATTTGTCTTGAATTCTTTTTTAAATATTTTTTTTAATTTTAATTTTTGCATTATAATTCACATCTAACATTGTAAGTTTCAAGTTTATCATAATAAGGCAATGCATGTATATATTCCAAATGACCACCACAAAAAAGTCTAGTTAATATCCATTACCACATATGGTTATAGGTTATTTTTCTTGTGATGAAAACTTTTAAGATATACTCTCTTTGTAACCTTTGAATATACAGTACAGTATTATTAACTGCAGATACCATGCTGTACATTATGTCCCCAGAGCTTATTTTGTAACCCCTTTTAAATTTTTAGTCCTTACATCTGACAAAAATGATTTCATCTAGTTACCTTTCTTTTCTAGATTAGCTCATTCATCAAACTAAAGTTAATTTACTATTCTAGTAGCTGAATCGAGTTAGAGTTCTAGTATTTTAATTTTCATATATTAAATAAATTATATTTCAATTATAGACAATTTAAAATTGTGGGTAATGAGTGTATATTTATATTGAATTTTTATGGTGTAATAAAGTGAAGAAATGGTCATGAATGAGATTTACTGTATCTGGCATGAGTATTGATATGATCATGTATGTTATTTATATATTTGGTTCTAATTATTCATAAACATTCATTAATTGAAATCAAATTGGGGAGTAGAAATAGTAGGTTGTTATAATTGTGTGTAGTTTATAGTGATCATATGTAGTATGTGTGGATGGTTTTTGTGTTATAAGGAAATTATTTCTGGGAATAATGAAATATGGCTGTTAGATTTTGAGTTTTTAATATATATATTTTAATGTATTATAACTGAAGACCTTATTTTTATAGAACATTAACAAGTACTGGTAAAGATCTGCAAGATAATTTTCTGAAGGCTCTGGAAGTGAGAGAAGAAGACAACCGTAATGGAAAATTGAGTGTGAGTACATTTTATCTAACAACTAAAAATATATAAATAATAATGTTTGAAATGCCATCCATGAGGGATTTATTCTAGCTCTTATTTATATGTATATTAAATATAAGACTATATGAATATTATAAGAATAAGAATTCCTATTCTTATTACGAGGCTATATGTGGAAAATTTTTATTCCCATTCCATCTCTAGAAGCTAAATGATAAAAAATAGGATTTTCACACCTTTTATTGAGAATATGACTATATTTGGCCCACTGGTTGTTACTTATGACTTTGTATTAGTGCATTATTGAAAGCTTCTGTATTAGTGCATTATGGAAAGTTTGACCACCTACTATGTGCCTACTTGATTTCATGTTAACTTTTGAAGATATTCCTATAGTTGTTCTTTGGTTCTACCTTGGGAGATGGAATATAAAGTACAAAATAGAGAGCCATGATTTTGACTCACTCAAGGAGCACGTGCTCTTTATTAAATTCTGTGCTAGATCAAATATGTAAAGTTGTTAATATTATTTTGGCTAAATATTGACTTTGACCTTTTGTTAATGTAATATTACTAATAATAGTCTCCTATAAATCTTAAAATGTTTCAAATCAAGAATTAAAAAAGGTAAAAACTAACAGGAAAAATAATGAGAGAAATAACCAGATTTAGTGTGCTGAAAAATTTGAAACAGGAGACTAATGTGTATTAAGTGGTCTGTTTTACTGAAGTCCTCTCTCAATAAAAAAAAAAAAACCCAAACCAACAAAAATGAAACAGTTGGGATTTTCCTCACTATCAGGCCTTCGCAATTTCACACTGAAGACAAAATCTTCAAAGTCCCTCAGAGACAGAGAAAAAAAAACCATATCTTGGTCATATAGTTTGAGTAGATTTAACTTGGACTTGAAGTCAGAGAAGGTTTCTTGGAACTGTCTGGGTGAAACTTAGAAGAGAGAAGATTGGAATTGGGGCAGAGAGTAGACTCTGGAGAAGACCTTGTGAACACAAACAGAAAAGTCTCTAAATCATCTGATTCTTAATAGTAAAAATTAGAAAGGTGGGGGGCAAAGGCGGAAAGATGTGGTTCACAGTTCCTTATCCATGACCAGGACTTTCAAGAAGGAGCAAATGATTATCAGTCTTTAAGCAAGATATAGACTGAAAAAGTATTCATTGTGTTTGGCAACAGTTTTATTTTTGAAAAAATATTTACCCTAGTGGAGGATTATGCGTGCTTTGGTGGTGCGAGAGCTACAGTGACCACACGTGAGGGAAGAAATCCATACTATCAAAAAGTTAACAATAAGTACAATAGGGAAATTGTACTTGATTTAAAAAAATAAAGTAATTAAAAAATTGCCAAGAAAAAATTCCATCGATAATGGGGGTGGAAGTCAACTTTCATAGCATTAAAATATTGTTCATACCGATAGTGTATCAGACTTCCTTTTTTCTCCACATCCTCACTAACTCTTGTTGCTTCTGGTCTTTTTATTATGACTGTTGTTAAGGGAGTGTGATGATTTGCTTTGCATTTAAGGGTTTATAGTATATAGACTCAGAAAAGAAATTACAAAACAAAAGTAGATCAAATAATCGCAACTCTAATAGGTGCTATCTGTTGCTACCTTTTATAAGAAAGTGACTTTGAGGCAATAACATCAGAACTTCAAGAAATAGCAGTGGAATTTTGGGGGAGAGACACCATAAACAATTGAATTTTTCACAGGGAAAGACATATTAAGAATAAGGAACCTCAAATGAAAACTCATAACAACTATCATAACATATTCAAGAGATGGTAAGAAGACCAGAGTGGTTAAAATATGGATATTGAAGGAGAGTTTAGGGATAGACAAGATCAGAGGGGAAGTCAGCAGCCAGACTATTATCTGTCTATTCATACAGATTGTAAGATTTTTTTTTATTTTGTTCTCTAATTTTTATTTTATATTATTCTATCATTGGAAGAGAAAGTTGATGATTTTAAGCAGAGACATGACCTGATCTGGTTTACACTTTGGAATTATTGATATCACTGCTGCTGTGTAAGGTGGGAGATGTGGGAAGGAGGGTTAGAGCAGAGACAAATAGAAAAGGCAACATGCAAAAGATGAAATTTTTACAGTAGAATGGTAGTAGTTGATATAGAGGAAAGTTACTGAATTGTGACTGTTTTGGAGGCTGATGGATTGGGTCTGGAATATTAAAGATGTGGAAATCAGGACTGCTTCTCGGTTTTTGTCTCGAAACAAATAGATTGATGATGGTGCCATTTAATGTGATAAGGAAACACTTGAGGAATGCTTATTTTAGGAATCAATAATGAAATAGTTCTTACCTTAGTAGAGAAATTATTTGGTCATTTACATATATTGATTTGTAATTTAAGTTTAAAGTTGGCTAAAATATAAATCTGAAAGTTACCAATATCCAAATCGTATGTAAAGTCATAGACTTACAAAATGGACTAGACAGAGCATATAAGTAAGAAGAATGAATTTTTTGACATAGCCTTAAGACACTGCAGCACTTAGAGACCTGGAATGTGTGAAAGAATCTGCTAATGATTTTGAAAATTACAAATAAGAAAGAAATCAGGTGAGAGCAGTGCTATAAAAGTGAAAGAAAAAAATTGAAGAAAATGATTCTTATGTCATATGCTACAGAAAGCTTAAATAAGAAGATATAGTAATTATCCATGACTATTACAGCAAATAACTACAAACTGGGTGGCATGAAACAACAGAAAGGAATACTTACTGGAGAAGGATCCTTAAAGGTAAGACAGGATTCTGAGCACCAGGAAAGGGTTTGCCTTAGAAGGGGCAAAAATTACTATTAAAGATACAACAAGAAAGTCTGTAGGGGTCCATGCATACATCTGCCAAGTCAGTTGATGAGTTTGGCTTGGCAAAGATAAGATGGGTCTGCTGTGAATGTATTTTCTTGCATTGTTGCTTCAAATGATCTTTAGTTATAGCATTGTGATTTTTTTTTTACCTATAAAAGGCTCAAAACTTACCTTTTATTGTTTATGATAAATAGTTAACACTTAATGCTGGCTAAATGGTCACTGATTTGGAAACTAGACTCTTGTCAGTATGATAGCTTTGTAACCTCAGCGATAACATAGGAACATTTGTTGGGATCTTTGAATTTGTGGTATTGTTATATCAACAGAATATAGCATTATATCAAGGGTGACATTTAAGGATTAATTTCCAATTTTCTTGTCTTGTGTTACAGCAAATTCCAAATGGATTTACAGCAAATTACACCAGAATACAATATATTTTAGAAAGATTTAATTATTAGTATCATGCTTATTTAAAAGCCATTTACTAAATGAATAGATTTTTTTTAAAAAGTAGTCCTATAAAATATATAATATTCATAAGATTTGAATCCATACTAATTTGCTGTCAGCAAAAATTATATGTGAATTTTAGGTCTGAACTTTAGAAGGGGATGGCTATTTCCTGTGTGTTACAATTTCTCTATATAATGTGAGTGCAAAGTAAATGGAGAACTTCATCCAGAGGCACATTGGTTTTCTCTCTGTTTCATCTTATTGAGAGTCAATATTAGAAAAATTTCAATACAGTTTTAGAACTGACATAGCTAACATGCATAGCTTAATAAGGCTTGAGGGACTCATTCCATAGCAACATTCCTGGGTAATTTTCTTTAAATGAAGCTAAGAAATTAGAATGGAGATTAGATTTACTTTCCCACACTCATAGATTTTATTTTAAAGTTTCAAATGTTATGTAGTGTAATTGTTTATTACTCTCGTTTTCCTTTTTCTCCCTCTGGTCACCTAATTGCAAAATTCATCTATTAGTTCTCTCCATTAAGACTTGATTTTATTCTTCTCTAGAGCATATCACTTTGGAAAACAGATTTCTATATTCATGGGCCCCCACCCAAATACTATAAAGGCTCAAGTTACAGGATTACTTGCTTAGTATATGTATCCTTACCACTCCCACAAGCCTACTGCTCACACGCGCAGTCCCAGTGCTATGTGCTGGGAGGGAGGGATGTTAAATGAAAATTAAAAGTTCATGTACCTAGTACTCAAAGAATAAAAATTCTTGAAAATGTACCTCCTTTAAAGCTTTCAGTGGTTCAGTGGGTCAGATGCTGTTGACAGATATTATTTAGATTTATATATTTTTTAAATTTCATATTAAGCTAAAAGTAATCTGATATAATTCAAGAATCAAATATTATTTTATGAATGCCTCTGAATTTCATATATAAGGTAGAGTACATATATCTATATGTTTATATATACATGCACATAAATATGCACATTTTATTTTTTATTTTTTTAAAAGATTTATTTATTTATGCATACAAGAAACTGGGATACAGGTCAGAGGTGGGGGGGTGGTGAGAGGATTCGCCAGAGACAGAGTCAGGAACAGAATAGGCAGATTGACTGAAATACACTGCTGAGGGTAGCAGCAGGCGAGACAGGAGAGGTCCTGCTACGTCATGTGGGTTGCTTCCTGCCTGGGGATTGAACTCATGCTGCAGTGGCTAAGGATTGCTTCATAGGGTGTGTCTCAACCCCTTGTGCTACCAGGGAGGCCCCACACATTTTTATTTATATCTTTTCCACAGTACTCTTGTATTAAATTACTGTGACATTCTGTGCATTTAGCCTAGACAAAACATTGAGTAAATGTGTGCAATTAGGTTACAAAAAATGTTTGAAGGGTATTTTTTTTATTAATTATTCAGTACTTCATATGACAAGTACATTTTTCCAATGATATACCTATTTAATTTTATTTTAAATGTGAGCCATTAATTTATGAAAACACTTCTACTTCATAATATATGTATTTTATATTTAAAAATTCCTTAAAGACAAAAATAATTACCCTGTTAATTAATTATTTTTTTAAAGATTTATTTATTTATGCATACAAGAGCTTGGGGTACAGCCCGGAGATGCAGGAGTGAGAAGATTCACCAGAGACAGAGTGGGGAGC